TAGATAACAATGATACTTAAAAGCAGTCAGTCTCAAAGCTGTATTTTAAAGATTATCCTCCCAAAATAGTTTATTAGGTGGGGAAAAGCTTTCCATTTTCATTAACCTAAATAGAAAACACCTAATCAACTAAGACACATCCTAGCAAGCATTTTTGCTTTCAAATCTGAAGATTTAGTGGAAAATCCATGAATGTGCCTACTGTGGTGACTGTGGGCTCTCAGATTGCCCAGGATGGGCAGAACTAGCAAGAAAAGCTCTTTAAATGCCTTGCTGCAGATGAGAGGATCTACCTGACGTAACCCGCTGAGGCACAGCAACTACTACTCTTCATTTACTCTAGGAGGTTTTGCACCTGCAGACAGCAAATGGTCCGAATCACTCATTACTATCATGAACTAAAACAACATTGTAAAAGCTTGACTGTCTCAGGTGATCGAATAATCCAGCCATGCACTATCATTTCCAGTATAAAGCAGCCACTGATAATGGTTTTGCTATATAATGACCTATTTTAGATGTATACACATGCAGATTTATGTATATTTCATATTAAAGTAATGGCAGGACATTGCTTTAGAAATCATGGTTGTCTCTGCTTCCATCTGCAAATTCTGACATCATGTCTTATAATTTGTCCCTACTTCTATCCTCATCCTTCATCTTTTGCTGCTGTTGAGCTGACTCAGAACCAAATTGCCAGCAAACCCCACCATCACCTAATTCTTCAGTGCTCTCCTATGGAGGAGGAGGAGGAGGAAGGAAAAGAAAAAGAAATAAAACTGTCCCTTTAAAAACCCGTACATTTAAGCTGCTTGTCAGTCGTCTTCTTGACAAGGCCACTTGAATATATTCAGGAATATTTGCATAAATACTCACAGTGAGTTCACCGTGGCAGCTAGCGCTAATGGTACATAAAGTAATTTAGTCACTTCTCTTAGGCATCCTGTCAGGGTGATAAGCACCCCCTCTTTGCCTTGTTGCATATTAGATCATTAGATAATAAAGTGTTAGAGCATGCAAACTGACAGGGTCTCAGGGACTATCATTTTTCGAGGGCATTGCATTCTGCCAGTGAGGAAAAATAATAGAGAAACTGATGCTGCAATTGGCTTTACATTCTTGTAAAGCCATTCAAAGATTTGGGGGGAAAAAGAATTTTTACTTTGCAGAAATATGAGAGTTTTAACTGGAAACTTTGCAGACATCTGCAGTGGTGGACTTCATGCTGATAAACTTGAAAAGGGTTGTTGCAAACCCTGTCAGAATTCCCCGCTTACACAAGCTAGTCACTTAAATTGCTTTGGAAAGATTTTGCTTTTAAAATTGACACCCTGGGATGAACTGCAAGCTGAAATGTATTCTTCTGGTTGGGATCTATTGGCTCTTCACTATACATCTTACTATATATGTACAATTTAGAAAGGTCAACCACACCAGCTTTCTGGTTTACCATAAATATAAAACAAGTGAGGATCCAACTATTTGTGAATGAAAAAGTGATAATTATTGAAAACCACAGATTACTGTGGTTTACCCTATTTATACCACACAGAGATGTATGAAACAATTGGCCTCTGCCAGCTATTACTTTTGATTTGAAATACGAGCTTCTTAACCCACTGGTTTCAAGGAGGACAGTGTGTGGATACAAAACCATGATCTAAGTTCCTAGTTATATTCAGAGAGATGTGCTATGAAAAGGAACTTTCATTTTACTGTCTGACAAGCAAGATATAAATAAACATGTGTTGGATGTCCCAAAAATAATCCACACTACCTACTAATGAGATGGTAAAACCTGAATGTGGAGACACCAGGCTCCTGAGTGGCTTGGGAGTTAAAGCTTTCTTTCCAGTTTTTTGGCACCCAAAAGTCTCTTTTAGGTGTCACATAAACTGCAACTCCATGTTTAAGAACAGCAACTTTGCAAGGGAAAATAAGCTGGATATTGTCCAACTAAACTAGGCAATCAGCAAACCACACCTTCTTGCTACATCCCGTCTCCCCTTTCCCCAGTCCTCACACAGTCAGGTGTTCATCTCTATTGCAGTCAGATATTTGTGTTAAAGAGCTAAAAATCTAGAAAAGTACACAGGAATACATTTGGTCAAGGGCATATTATAGTTAGATCCCAGCATTAAAAACCTATGATCAGAAGGTTCACTAGAGTAATAAACCAGAGACAAACTATGGGTGCCTACGTTAGCTTCCCATTTCACTGTTTACAGATACTGTTCAGATCAATCTGTCCTCCTCCTGAGGGAGGCAAAAAAGCTGGAAAGAGCAAAAGCAAACAAACTGTCTTTGCTACTCACACTTGAAGTAATTATCCACAATAAAAATTCCAAAAACTGAAGAAAAATAATATACTTTGGGACTCAAACTAAAAGTAAAAATTAATTGGAGAAAACTGTCATCTGTTCCAGAGGGCCTAAGGTTCATGGTGATTGCCCAAAATTCAATAGCATTAAGCCCAGTTGAGACTTTTCCTTTTTTTTTTTTCATTCAGTTAAGTGTTTTAGACATCTAATAACAACATTTAAAACAGTTATTGGATTTTGGGGGGTTTTATTCTATCTTCCTGTCCCTTGGATTCAAATGTGCATAGAATTCCTGGAGAGCTGGATTGAAGGATTTAGGTTAAAAAGAAAGGCTCCACCAAGCCTTTGGGAAGACTGCAATTTTGTAGTGTGGAGGTTGCTATTCAAAAGTAAGAATTTACTAGCGGTTGCTTTATGAGGTTGCTTGAGAGGTGCTTGAGAAAGTAGATTAGAAAAATCACCTTTCCCACAAAATGTACACATGGAGATATTTTGCAGATGTTGACTTTTAATGTTAACATAGTAACTAGGGTTTGTGTAGATATGTAAGCATAGCATTATCTTTTTTTTTTTCTTTTTGCTAACAGAATGCCTCAGGTAGTAGGAGTGGGAATGTTAGCTGTGGTAAAATGAGCTGCTATTACACCATGCATGGGAATGAGAACGTTTATGTATGAGAAAGTAAGTATTGCCTTGACCAAAAGCATGCACTGAGAAGACTTGGGGGGTGGGGGTGGGGGAAGATGGCCTCTACTTTAGTAGGAATATAAGTAAAAAATAGGAGTGTTTTTTTTAAAGACTAGACTTAGTGGAAAGATTACGAAGTTGAACAGACATGAGTTTCCTTTTGTAATGTTCTGCCTTCTGCTAATTAATAAAGACAGAGTTCGTAGATTCGTTACAAAAATTCAGCAAAAATTATGACAGTGGTTTGTTTATTAAATTAGGTTGTTGGCAGGAAGAAAAAAAAGTTCTATAACATGAATTATGGCTGAATATGGCTCATAGCCTACATAAAAAGTTAGAGCTAAATAAATACAGATGTAAGTTATGTTTATATAATGAGAAACGCTGCTGAGCTAAGAATTTTAGGTTAGTAAGTGTGAACTAGAGACCCGATTCTGCAAACACTTATCAATACCCTCAACTTCACTGACACAAGAAGCCTCATTGATCCCAACAGGACCATATGTGCGCATAATCTTAAATATATGCATAAGTGCTTGCAGGACTGATGCCTGAAAGCATAAACAGAATAGAAAGCTTTTTCCACAGGAATTCACCGAGTAGTAGAAACCCACGCATTTGCCCATTTCTCAGTATTAATAATTTCTTTTAACATACCTAGTTAACATTTTTCTGAGTGGCATTTGCCTTCCCAGAGAAAATTTTATCTGGTTTCTTCAAGCTCTTTGGAAAAATCTTTTTAATTATTCATCAGAACTTTGGCAAATATTTGTGAAACAAACCAGCATAAAGGACTGGTGCCCTCTACACTCAGCTACTTCAATGGAAGCCGAGGGTACACATCTCTCAGAGGGAGCAAGCACCTATTGAATTTAGGATTACAAACAGCTTTGAAGGCAAAGAGCTATTCTACCAAACTGGAACAAGGAGAGAGGAGTGAAATGCCCTCTGTTTTTGTTTTGTTTTTCAGTAGTAGTCATCAACTTTGAGGAGAAAGAGCAAAACAAAACATTAATCAAATCCAGATTTTTTCAAAGTACATTTGCACTCAACAACTCCCATTTTAAGCACCTACAGTCACCAGCAGATGTTCTCTTCCAGGACCAGCTGATCTTACGGAAAAGATTACTGTCCCCCAGGCTGCTTCCAGCCACGTGCCTCCATCCCACCCTTGCTGGGGTTTACTGTCCTTTCAGAAGAGCCAGACAAATTGCCTTACACCATTTCTCCTTCAATCATTTCAGCAAAATAAACTAGATTGGCAAAGAGTTCTTATTTAAATTATTTAACTCAAATGAACTTCTTTGGACTGAAGGAGACTAGGGAGCAATCAGACAACCATCTTAGCTGGCATGTCCATGGTGGAGAATAACCTGCAGCAGGGAGGAGAGACAAGCAGCTGTGGCATGCAGGGAAGAGCAACTTCCGCAGCTGGCACAGCTGGAGCCAGAAGAGAACGTTCATCCATGGTTTGAGTAAGCAGATGGATTTCCAAAAGGGCTCTGCTTTCATTTAGGGCAATTCAAAGGAACAGCTGGATCTCCTAGAGAGCTCAGCATTCTATAGACAGAAGAAGTCCAATCTGAAATTTGGGTGCTGAGCACTTCAGAAAATACACAACATCCTTTAGATGCACAGTCAAAAATCAAGGCAATTTGGAAACGATCAGACTCCAATTTTGGGTGCCGAATAGATGCAACCAAGAAAAAAAAAAATCATCACACTTCACTGACACACAGGACAGACTCTGCACCCATGTTTGCTTATGGGTTTGCCATTTCACTAGATCTATTGCTGACCTACTTGAAAAATTCCCCCTTCGGTCTGGAGGCCAGTCTTTTTAAAATGTCCAGTCCCAAAGGTATAAATCGTTACAGGACAATTTGAAACCAGTAGCCAGAGACACAAACCAAATAAATCCACATTTAAAGTAGCAATGCCAACCAATGAAAATGATATGCCTACCATGTTCCAGATAAGAAGGCGTACCTTCCGAGGGATCAAGTCTTCGAGCTCTCCGCCCGTGCTTGGAATTGTTGTGTACAAACATATTGTCCGACACTGCCAACACATGGCCATCAACATTGACTGTTGTAGACACCACAACCTGCAAGCACAAGAGCAAAATGGAGGAAAATTTGGATATATATGTATGTTTTTCAAGAAGCACAGAGTGTAATAAACTCAGTTAAATAAATAACAGCTGGGAGCTGTAGAAAATTGCATAGCTATTTCACATAATAACTGGTGCTTATGCTGTACAAATCTAACAAGAGACGCTATTGATGAGTGGGTCTTTGGCATCGAAAGCTTTTGATGCAGTTTTAAGTCAAATTGCAGAGTTTGTAGCTGCATGGCAGACGGCACACTGTTAACCATCATTTTAACAAGAGGATCTTTATTAAGTATTTTTTCCCCTATATACAAGGGCAGCTGTGTTTCACCCTAAATTATCCTTCAGTCTCCATGCTGAAGTAGATAGAGCTGTTGACATTGCAAATTAGAATTGATTCAGAATAAAAGAAAACAAAAGTGTATTTTGTGAAGTTGTAATGAAAGTTGTTGCATGTCCTTCCCCCCACCTTCTCTACTGCTCCCCCCTCAGTACAGTCACTACAGGTTGTTGGACTTGCCCAAATTTCTCCCGAGCTCTATCTTAGTGAGTATGTATAGGTATGTTTGTGTACACACACACATTTGACAGTGGGGTCTTGATCTGGAGAACACAACCCTATTCATCCAGCGTTAGAATTATTTGTATTTCTCAACTTATCTCAATGTCAACACTTGGGATTTGGGTTGAGGCAAGGGGAGGGAGACAGAGAAGCATTACCCTGGAGGCAAGATCTGACACATCTGCTCCCCAGCGCAGCCTCGGATGGGAGAGAAGCCAACCCAGTGGGGTAAACAGGTAAGAGTTGGGTGTCCAGAGTAGACAGATGTGTTCAGACGTGTTCAGACCTCTCAACTTGGAGGATCGGCAGACACCATCCTATGGGAGATCCCTGCTCAGGCTGAGGGCACCCAAACTAGGAACCATAGTGGAGGAAACCAGGGGGATGCATGGGGCAAGCCCCTGGCAGAGCTGCGAGCTCATCACACTGGGTCTCCTCCCACCCCACTCACTCCAAGTGACCTCATAGCCTCTCTGGCTTTCATTCAGCCACCCCCTTCCACAGCCTTTTCCCAACAAAGTATGGCATTCCCAGGGTTTTACCCCAGCCAAAGATTTGGCCTTCAGCTGGCTGCTAGTTTGCCAGGAGCACACGTCACCTTCAAGAACTTCAACTAAAACAATAAGAAGAAATGACCTACACTTCTCCTTACATTAAACAGGGAAAGGGATTAAAAACTGAAACCCACAGAGATATGTTTATTCATGTGACCTCTTACAACCAAATATAATAATTGTCTGTTAATTGCAGTTTCAGCTCCCACCTCATGCTTTGACATGTGAAACAGCAATCAGCAGCTCCTGTTTAATCCACCTATTATGTTGACTAATTAACTTTGCTCGACAGTTTATTTCTTCCTCCATTATCAGCCCCTGTCAGCCGCAAGCACACTGCCGCAAAGGGGGACCTCAGTCCTTTTGATTGATCACCGATAGATTGACATGCAGATTAATTTAATTAGAATCACCTCACTTGAGAAATGAAAGACAATGGCAAGGGGGCTAATAGATCTGCTCTTATAATGAGGCAAGCCTCCAGAGCCGCGGCAGAGGATTTCTGATTTATTTTTCTGAATTCCCCAGTCACTCTGAAAGGCTCTCACTTTAATTGTTCTTGGTTTTGAGAGGCTTTAGCCTCTGAAGAGGTGAAATGCTTTACAAGGATTGGCAAACATTGCTTCAACTCTCTCAGGAAGCTGCTGCATCTCAAAGTTGGTCAAATGGGGACACTTAAAGGATCACTTAAAACAATTCCATTTCATCACTTGAATTGGATCTAAAAAAAAAAAGTTAAAGAAAAAATTTTCTACCTGTTTCTGACTACCAATTAAAATGCTCAAAAATATAAAGCAAGCAAAGTTGCTAAACTGCCCATAGCTAATGCCAAAGTCTTTGTCTTAAAAAGAGGAATACGAAAGAGAATAGTTTACATCTAAAGGATCCTAAAATCATCCCTCAGAATGGCATTCCAGGCAATAGATTTTTGTCTGTGTTTTAAGTGAAAGATATTAAAATACAGAATAAATGATTCAAGAGCTCTTACAAATGGAAATTTGGGAAAAAGAAAGCACCAAACACTATTGGTAAGTTTTTCTGAAATCAAACTAAGGGGAAAAAACCCAAGCCCTATATATAAAATTCCAAAAGGGATTTCAAAAGTAATTTATACATTGCATTCCTGAGGGACAGAATAAAGTTTATGATATTTTCAATAAAATATGATCTTATAGTAAGTGGCCCAGGGTTTGCAATATTATTTGTGCACTTGCAACCATTGTAAATTCTTTGCAACTGGGATTTTGAGCCAAATCCTTAGCTGGCATTGCCTGTCACAGCTCCACCATTTTATGCCAGCTCCTTATCTTCTTTTATGGGTCTGCTTAGATGTATATGAAAATTAACACTATTACAATTAATAACAATGGCTACAACATAAAATATTTTCACCAATCCTAAAACCATATAGGTACACACAGATTTCCCACTGAAGCTGACCAATCCTGTGCTGAAACCCAAACTTTTGAACATTTCTAGAAATAGGATTCCAGAAAAATAGCATGTCAAGAGTAATAATAGCAAGGTAGGTCTCAAACCTATGGAAATCAAATATATAAGTAGCTGTCGCTATACATGCTCCTTTCTAGGGAAGAACTCAAGGAAACAATCCTAGTGAGGTCAGTTTTATGTGAGTAAATCTACATTTAATTTTCCCCCCCTCAGGTTTCAGAAACTGTTGATGCAACATATTTTGAATTACTTAACAGTGTCTTCCTACATACCTCCTGAACAGAGAGTTTGATTTACTACAAAGAGACCACATTGGTGTGGTTCTTTGGTGTCGTTAGCAGAAGAAACTATAAAAGGAATCCCCAAGAGAAACTGTTTCCAGTCTCAGGAAATGCAGAAAAAAAAGTGGTTACTCTTATGTGTATCTCTGAAAAAAAAAAATGATTATTCATAGTGCACCTGTAAGAAGCAGCACACGCTTACTGCTCAATTCTTTAAATGTAAAATCTCATTAATACAGGAATACTGAACATACACTGCACTAACGAAATATTAATGCCCCCAATTATTAACAGAGAAAAACTACACCTTGAATATTGTGTGCCACGGTTACATACTTGGATCACTACGGAGCACTTACATACTTGTAAGATCTACTCATATTTTTTAATCCAAAAAAATACTACACTCTCTTCATTTTGATTTTGAAATGACTGGGATATGTTCAAGTTAAAGCACATGCTAAAACTAATTTGTGGAGAAATCATAAAATTACGGGGGAGAGCCAAAGTATATGTGGAATGGGCACTGAGGCATCCTAAAACACAGACCATAGCAAGAGGGAAAGGCACACTACAGTTTAATAAATGATTAATGAGGTGCTGACACATTAATGTAAGCACAGGGACAACCAGGCCTGCCAAATCTCAAACCTTTCCAAATTTTGTCAACAAAACACAGTTTTAATTTGGGACAGGCAAACATGGAAAATGATTTTGAGCTTTAGCTTTAGCCCTTCATAGATTTTGAATTTAAATCCTGTATCAACACCAGGGGAGACAGAGGTATGAAAGAAACACATTGCTTTACAACTTTCTTCAATGAAGTTGGCACTATCAACTGCATTAATGTATCACAGCTTTGTGAATTATTCTGCCTGCCATTAAATAGTTCAGTTTGTGAATACTTTGGAGCCTAGTTTAAAAAAAAAAAAAAATTCAGAGACCAGGAGCCTGGAGATCAAGCTATTTATCCACGTTTAGCACTTGGCCTGTTTATTTGTTATAGTACCTCACCTAATATATCAAAATTAAGTATTGTATGACTCCTCATTTTTAACCACAGCCCATTAAGCTTTGCTAGCTGATTAAGACATAGCATGTTCCTTGTGCTTTCAATTTTCTCCGATGTATGGTGAGGGATCTGATATTTTTGCCATGTCCCCAACATCCAGTGGCAAAGGCAGAGAAAATCTGACTACGATGATTTCCAGGTTTGAAGTGTGTCAAGTGTTAAACCTGTAACTCCGGTGTTTGCTGCTCTTCTGAAAGCTATGCAGAAATGGCTTGAGCAATGTCTTTATTTTCATCACCACTTGGTGACCTCTTCCTACAATGTGTTGACTTCTTTAACTAAAAATTACTCTTGATTTAACAAGACACTTAAAAAAGTGCCTAACTTAAAGCACATAAGTACATTCAGTAATTTTGCTCACGTGCTCAAGGACAGGCTGGGCGCTTAATTACCTTGTTGAATTGGGCCACAGCTCTCACTGCTATTTTTCAGTCTTTTTTTTTTTTGGCTTTCTCTTCTCTGGGGATGGAGCCTTGCATGTCCAAATTCCATTATCTGGGATTCATGAAGCATCATTCCTGTCTTTTATGCAAATTTGCAATAAGACACAAGTGGCTTCAATTCAAACATGAGTGGCAGCATCCCATGGAGGCAAACTAGCAGCCCAGGCTGAGGAGGAGGTTGTGGTAACAGAATCAAACAGCATGGCAATTTCTAAGTGACTTTCAAAGTTTTCATAATAAACGAATGTTTGGGGTTTTATGCAGTGTCTCAGTCTGAAAAGTTTCCTCTAAATTAAAACTTGACATGTGTCAGTTTGCAAGCAGTTGTGCTAAAACAAGAACAACAACATAACTAGGGCACCTGGGTTTCATTGATTACAATAACTTACAAAACTGTTTAGGTTGTATGAATGAGTTTGTAGTGATGAAAAATAAAATCTGCAGAGTTCACCCATGATACCACTAATTGGGGCACTACAGCCGCCCCAAAACTGACAACTTATTGTGATGAAGAATGCAAAACCAGACTGAGTATCTGCTCCAAGAGGTTTCTGGAAGAAAAAGGCAAGGTTGGACAAAGGTGATAATATATGCTATCACCAATTGTTTTGTGCAATTGGGGCACAACTGCATTGCATTGCAATTGGTGTACATTTCATCTCTGTTTTCAGAGATGAAATGATTTTCTTAAGGACAAGCAGGGAGTCTGTAGCACAGCTGAACACTCAACTTTCTTGAGTCCCTGCATACTACTTGATTTCTACTCGCTGAGAAATTTCTCCTCCAGATTCCTCCTCTGCTGCTAGCAGATAGACAACTAACAGAGCTACGGCCAGCATTGCTCCAGCACACACTTTTGCTGGCACTCAACACCACTCCAGTTGTCACGTGCCTGGAGACCTCAGACATGCAGAGAAATTTATTTCCTTCCAGGCCCACATCTGCTTTTATATTAGGCTTATCACACTACTACATTTGCATGCAAAGTTCAGGATAAAACTTCCTAATTCACTTCTATATGTGAGTCTGAATGAAGTTTCACACACATAACTGTTAGAGACCTTGTAAGTCACTGGCATTATTTCAAAGGTAGCTGACAGCAAACCCTCCACGGACTTCACAGGGGCCCAGATTTCACTTGGTTCCTATACAACATTGTCTCAAGCATCTAGGTGCATCGTACCATTGAGATACTATGTGTATGCTTCATCTTTTTCACCCTGAAAAACGATAAATGAAGCCTGGACTCTGTAGAGTCTGACTGGTTTATTTTAAGAAGTCTATTGCTAAAAGAGCAACAAATTCAAAATTTAAAAAAGGAGAGGAGGGAGAAGAGAGGGGACAGGGGAGAGGGGAGGAAGAAACAAAAGCAGCTATTGTAAAACAATAAGCCTGGGCACTCAACAGAATGTTGCAAGCTTCAATACCACCCTGTATTATAGTATGAGTGGTTCACTTGGCTGAAAGTGATTAATTTCTTGAAAATGCTAAGGTCACACTAATTGACATGACCTGTGTAATTAAGCAGTCTCTGTTTACACACAGAAAGCTCAACTGCTGTGAAGCTGGGTTTGTATGACAGAATGTCTTTACAAGTCAAGAGATCAACCACCTTTCCTATGTCCTACCTACCCGCCGACACAGGCTCCTGATTGCTGTTCTGAGAGAACACGCAAAGGCATTACCATATGAAAATCAGCCTCAAGCCTGGACGAACACAAACCCAGCAGCGTGTACATGTTGTGAAGCAAGCTCTGACAGGCCCCAAGGGTGACTGCTTGGCCTAAATCCCTGTGCTGGTGAGAGTCCTTTTTCCATTTTTGCCTTCAGTGATAACGCCCTCTAGAATCACAGGAGAAACGTGATGGAGGGAGGAGTGTGGGGTGAAAAGCTAAGGGCTCTGCCATGCTAATGCTAGCTCTTATACTGATTAATCTAATCCCTGTGGCCACATCTCCTCACTTCTGCACCTCTATGCTCAGAGGGTCAAATAACACCCTTCTGCCTTCCAGCGTTGTTGCAATTAAGTCGTTCAACAAAAGACGTGTTCTGCATGTAAATAATATTGTCATTTATATAACATTTAGCACTTTTATTTAAGTGTGACAATGCTGTTAAAAAAGCAAACAAGGTCCTGAGCTACTGCAGAAAGCAGCCATCTTTTGGAGTTGTCTTCCTCCAGAGACCCATGTAGTCTATGGGACAAATCTCCTATTTCTTCCTCAGAACCCTGAGGCCAATCCCCACTGACAGACTCTATCATGTTTTCTCCCTGGGCCATATACACTCTTCCCATCACAAGAGAAGGTCCTTTGGCTCTCTACCCCATACCTCTGTTCAGCACACACTCGGGTAAAGCATTATGGGCACAAAGGACCACGTCTTCAATAAAGGGGGTCAAGCAACTCTTTCTTAGCTTTGCCACCACACCACTGTGGCCAGCACTGGGGAAAGCAGGTGTAGACCATCTACAGCAGGGACAGTGCTGTACTTGATCCCAAAATTAGTCATGGACATAGGTGTAGCATAAAAAAAAAAGTCCCTGGCGATCTGAAGTTGTGTTGATACTACAGTTCCCAAGCCCCACTGCCACATGGTGCAACAGCAGGGAAATACCGGCCCAAAACATCCCAAGAAAGATACACCCAATGGTAGCTTTTTCCAAGTGCTAACTACAGGGATGGACCTTCATCCCATTGATGCATGTTTATGAGTCTTTAACACTGCTGAAGAATAACTGCTGAAGTGTAGTCACAAACCTGATTTTATTAATTGCTCTTATACCCTCCTCTGCCCCTTCCAATAAACATGGTCATTACTTAGTGTTTACATGAAAGCAAGTAGTTCTCCAGGCAGAAGGGAATATCTCAGAGCAGGGTAGCCCCACAACCTAAATCAACAGTGAGGTTATTTTGATTTTTCCTTTTCATGCTTTCACTTCCCTTGGAGATGACATTATCTTCAAGAGTTCTCTTGTCCAGAGCAAGAAAACCTGACTACTTCCTGCCAATTCTGCTGTGACAAGAAGCCCTCAGGCAATATTCTGTGACCTTATGTTTTTAGCATCTTCCAGTGAATTACTAGGTTAGTTTGGGTCAAAGTACTTCTGTTCCTAACAGCTGCTGATTTTTAAAGGAGGAAGCGTGTCCGACTGACCTGGAATCGACGCATGTCTCGAGGGTTTCCTGCATTTTTTAGGCAATTTTGGTTACATTTGAGGAAAAATTTCAAGAAGAACCTGCAGAGAAAGAGAAACGGACATTAACATCTTATAAACAGTGCGTAGTAGTACTATGTAACATCTGCACATTTGGTCTAATAGCACCTTATTTACAGTAGACATTCAGACAAATCATCCTACTGACCATCCAAAGACAGAGCAGAGCTTGCATGGGCCCCAATCCAGCAAAATGTGTAACACGTCCGAAACGTTTAAGCATTAGATTAATAGATCTGTTGTGTCAGAGCCATTAAAGTTTGCAGAGCTAGTCCCTCTATCGCGCTAAATGGCCAGCCTCGCTGTGCCATCCATAGCAGCAAGGAAGTAAGAGAGACATATTTCAGCACAGCAAAAAGAGGACAGAAAAATGCCAGCCAAGAAAATTCCCTTACGTATAATGGGGTTTTGTTTTACAAATTCACTGTCGTGTGCAAATTTTGATTTAATACAAAACTACTGAAAAGTTTGTGCATAAAATTAATGCTCAAATAACGGTTAATGGGAGACCAAAACCCTGAGAGGAGAAGGGGGGAAGCCTTGGTTAAAAGATTTACTTCACAGAAAAATGAAATATTTTCAATGCAGTCTATTTCCTGACCATACACAGTTCACTGAAGTAGCTATATGACCACGACATATATCTCTAAGAAAAGACATTGCATTTTACAAAGCCAAAGAAAAAAGTAAACGTTTCACTGAAAAGATTTCCTTCAGTGTTATGCATCAGTGGACTGTAAATTCATAAAGACAAGTCAATGAATAATAGTGGGTCTCAGATTCCAGGCTTCCTCCCTGAGAGCCAAAGTTTATCAACCTTTTGTCCAAAATAAACTACAGACTAAGGTCTACTAAAGCTCAGCCATGCAAAATTTAATCCTACAGCAAGTTTAAAACCTAGTGCAACCAGACAGAGCAGCATTACACTTGCAATGACCATCAGTTGACTAAGCAGAACCTAATCTGACCTGTGTCCATATACAAAAGCAGGGCAGGGAATTGTTTGATCCTGTTTTACTTTAAATCAGAAAGTTAACTTTTGCAAGCATCCGTCTTTTAGCAGGCAAATGGAATGCGAGGTCAGTAGCATTTGCACATACTGCCATCAAGAAAGGCAAAACTGCAGGGTAAACAGCTTCAGAAAACCCCTTTTTGATAGGCAGCGTTCTCTGCCCTGCTCTAGCTGTGATGCTACCCTTCAACAAGACAAGTTTTGGTGCTTGTTCCTCCATGCCAAGAAAATCATACTAGGCAAATGGCTGCAAGGACAAACTGAAACTACAGGGGACCATTTTCATTAAAGAAAACTAAGGTAATGAGGAGGATTATAGAATGTGATACTTGGGATTATCAAGGACTGGATCTCCTGACCCAGGAAGTTCCTTCTAGACCTCTGCTCCTAAATAAGAGCAAGCAATCAACATAAAATAAACAGCCACCACACTTGAACGGGGGTTTGGAGACACTGTGTTTGTTTACACTAAAATAAAGAGCAGTGTAAGCCGTTACATTTTCTCATCAAGCAGGTTCCGATATTCAATAATGGAAAATTGGTGCTATTTGTTGTACATGTGTGTGTCTTTTTAAGCCTCTAATGGCCAGCTGTGACAGCCTGACTTAGATTGTGTAGAAGGAGCTGTCAGCGCAAATCTTGGCATCTCGAATCCAGACAACTGCTTGCCACCAGGCGAGGGTTTGTACTCGTGCCAGAATGGATTTTGAGAGACAAGCAAATAGGGCATTAATTCCACCAAAGAAAAACGAAAAGCAGGGGGAGTTCAGGATCTTACACTTCAGATGATGGCTTTCCTGTCAACAGCTCATCATTTAGCTCATGAGCTATGAAGGGCACGGACATCAGATCCCTCTTGCCCTAAGCTGGCCCTGTCATGCAAAATGCTGGCAGGATCTGGAGACCACCCCTCCACGCAAGATTGCTTGCTGAAATAAAAAGCCCGGCCATCTGTTGGGAGGCAAAGACACCCCTGTCAGCTGGTGCCTACAGCCTCAAACAGGCCCTTATGTGGCAAAACCTCTCAGAGCCACTTACTCTTTGGGAAGAAGCTGGTGCTGCCCCAGGTTTTCTGCAGGATTTTTGGTGGCTTCGCCAAGCGCCGAGTCCAGCAGCTGCCCACCCAGTCTGCCACAGCCCTGAAGCAACACCTTGGCCCCAAGCAGAACTAGGACATGGAATAGTTAAAAATATCTGCACTGAAAGGTAGCATCAGCCATGCAAGCGTGGGAAGCACCTTCCCCGTATGGCTTTGCACAGTGGGGTTTGGCGGGTTGACTCAAGGGCCCCAAAGGAGACGGGAAGCTCTTCATGAAGCTCTCCAAAGAAACACTGGGCCTTCCCTTCCTTTACCAAGTCTGAGCTCATGTCAGCTCAAAGGCTTGGAAAATCACTATGAAATACAAGAGTTTGCTTTTGGGGTCTGCAAGCTCTAACACAAAGTTTTGAACTCTAATTCCATTTGTACTGTGCTATCTCCCCCAAATTCTACAGAAATTTCACCAAAATAAGCTGCAGAAGAAATGAAGCTCATCTATTTAAACCTACCAAAAACCCTCAGGCAAGCAAGCAAGAAAACAAAACTTCCTCTGAATTAAATCAACTCCAGTAAAAAAATTAACTTAAAAAAATAACCGTATTTTCAGAGGAACTTTCAAGACCCCAAGCTTATACAGCCAAGTTCGCTCACTGCATTTTAAGTAAAAAATCACCAGTTTACAGAACACATTCTGCCAAATGCTGTATTTTTATTCCACTGAAAGACAAAACAAACTATAGGCTGCACTTTGTTTTGAACACACCAGAGCTGGAGTCCCCCCGGCTATGCAAAAGCGTCCCACGCTCGTCTAGGCAAGAGCCGAGCGGCTCCCGAGCTGGCACGGCACATGCCAGCTGACGGTCTCCTCCAGCTTTGGCAGAAAGGCAGATGTGAACAGATTAATACAAGTGTAGAATGGAACAGTTTGATTCACAGTGTTCAGCCTGGTCTCTCGGTTCCTGCTTTAAACGGCTTGTTCAGGTGCCTTCTTCACTTCGGTCCGGTCCTGCCAGCCTTGCTCATTAGCAACACTTCACTCTGCAAATATTTCAGATTTAGATTGACAGGACTGGTCCAGGAGAAGTGCCAACAGAGCTGAGCTCTTTGTAAGCATAAGCCTCCATCCCCGTTTGTTTGCATCTAACTTCTTCACAGTGGGTTATTTTTTTTCAGTTCTAACTTTCTCCACATTTGGCAGGGCTTTATAGCATTAATACTAACCACAGAGGATATATAGCATTAATACTAACCACTGGGGTCTGAAATTCATTCCCAAGATGAAAAAAATATGCAAAATGCAGGAGTGTCAATAAAATCTGCAACTTTAAATCTCTCTCCAAAGTTATGTGATTGCTGAACACCAGCTCTTCTGCCACACAAGACTCAGGCATCAATTATACTTACTGCTACCATTGAAGGTTTATTTTTTTGCACAACTCAAACAAAACATGTTTTCTGACTCCCTTCCTGACTACTGACATCCCTGGTGTGAAAACCACTTGTGCATATGGAGCAGAGAAACACAAGCCAGCTCCACATAAGTCAGCTCAGGTCCAGAAACATGCAAACTTTTACAAAGAACTTGGATTTAATGATTTACATTGCTATTAAATCAAAGGACTCTGTGCTTCACCCCTTATTCCACAAAGACATGGTTGGAGGGTACAGGAGTGCAGTTTTGGAGAAAACCAGTTAATTTTAGATTACAGATGCAGCTCAGTGTAGGCTGCAAAAACTACTCAGAGCGAAGCTGCTGAGCAGTTAATCCATGCCATGGCACTGTACTACTACAAATCTTTAAGTAACTGCAAGGACCAATGTAGAAATACAACCTCCAGTTAAATACAAACCTCCAGGCTGAATCAGGCCCAAATTAACATAAACTTTTGTCTGCCAGGCAGAAGCTCTAACAAATGGGTTATTGGCTCTTCTGGGAGTGTTCTCTCCTTTTCTCACAACTTGACAGAAAATTCATTTTTGGAGATGAAGCTTTTTTTTTTTCCTAACAAAACTGCTGCATTCCCCAAAAGATTTTGGTGTCAGCAGGACTGTGCTCTCACGATCACCCTCTACTGTCTGCTAGTGAGGGACTCTTACCCCAGCCCAGTCTGAGCATCCTGGTCGTCCACGCTGCCTTCCCACGCTGCTACTTCTGACTCCTGACACTGGCTCCCTCCTCACTCCTGCTCCTTCCATCCTCTGACTCCCCTCGTTCACCTGAAGGATCTAGTGAGCATGCTACCAGCTGGAGGCCGCTCCCCTTGTATATAATACTCCCTGCCATTCATCGCTGGCCAGCTTGTCCATCACACTGCAAATACTTTGGGATTGTGCAATACCCTCCCCAGCAGCATTGGGCTCTTTGTCACTGCTAACTACCACAGTGATGTAAATTAAAAAAATACACAACACAAATAGAAATACTAGCAATAAAGATGTAAAAGGATTTTGCCCTCCTGCTTTTCTTGCCACTACAAATTAATACCCATGTTTATTAAAAATAAATGAAGAGTTAAATTAAAGAAAGCAAGCTCTGACATGATCTAGGTTCGTTTTTCTGTCACTCCCCTGAAGGAAATTTAAAGGAACTCAAACACGAAAGCTTAGCAGTAGGATTTTCTTGCCATTGCCACAATAAATATGTCTGTGGAAGAAGAAAAAAATAGTTGGAAAGAAGACCTGCTGCATTCCTGATGCTGAAGAAAAGCTTGTTTGTTCCCGATACATTGGAGAAGTTGTTCAAGAACAGTTCATCCATGTGAAAATACGACAGCTGTCGTGCTGCCAAGGTCAGCCAGACCAGTGGCTATCCAGAAAGTGAGTGCCGCTTATACAACTTAAATCTGGCTAGGGAAAACAAAATTGACAAAACGCACCTATTCTGAGGTATAAATGCATTTGATAGAAGAGGGCAACTTTAGACTCCTGGATGAAACATGGCAGTAAGTATATGTGGGTTTGCAAAATTAGTA